TTGTTTTGTTTTGTTTTGTTTTGTTTTGTTTTGTTTTGTTTTTCTTTATTTTTCCACTACCAGTGTTTTAATCTATATTTCACAATTGTTGGTAGCAAATGGCTGTAAAATCTTCAAAGCACAGGCAAAATGAAGAGAACATATAACAACTCATATGATCTCTAGTTTGTCTTTTTGAGGCTGATGGTCAACAGTTTTATTTTTTAATATATATGTATTTATTTTAGTTATAATAGAGGTTGTCTCCCCTGTTTTGTTCCCTGTTCGTGGAAAGTGTCACATGAGTCTCACTCTGTAAGTCAGAATGAATTTCATTGAGGACACAAAGGCCATGTTTTCATTCAACATGTGAGTGTTTCACACAGCTAAAATGCAGAAGTCTGTCGTCAATTTTACGAGAACGTGTACGAGTTATTGTTCTCATAAAGTCAAAAATCTGCCCGTACGGCTGGATAAAGCAGCTCTTGTGTCGCTGAACACACAATGTGCCGCTGAAGGTCAGCAGGTCTTCCTCAGCATCAGCAGACGCTCATTTACAGTCAAGAGAACAATCTGTACCACAGAGGAACAGACACAGCAGGCCTGACGAGTTTCTGGAGCAGAATCCGCTTAATTGAGAGTAAAACACAGCAGAGCTTCAGCCACCATTGATTTCCAGATGATCTGAGTGATGCTGAAACTCAATACTTTATCATTTATGATGCAGCCGATTAAAGGATTGTAATATACTAATTATTAGGAAGAACGCAACAACTCGTGTCTGTTACAATTAGGGTTGTCGACTTAATTAGGTGTGATTAGTTATGGAAAATGATTACTGCATTTAATGATGCAGCACCACTGACTGCAGTTATCTGAGCCTAAAATTCAATAATATTAATATATGATAGTTTAGCAATATCATTATTAACTGCAAAGTTGACACAATATTAACTGCAAAGTTGATATTGATTTATACAACACTTCAATAAACAAGAAGTTCATATTGTTACATTTTAGACACAATATTGTCTCAATTTTCCAAATGAAAACAGCCACAGCAGAACCGTTGTGTCTCTGATCAACACACAGCAGTGATTCCTCACTGAACGAATCCACACTTTTGAACGAATCGAGTGAGTGAGCGATTCAATGACTCATTCATAAAACCTTGATTCATTTCTGAATGAATCAGCCGTTTGACGAATCGATTGAATGAATGACTGAATGATTCAAAAGTCATTTCAAATTTCAATATTCAACTTTTAATTTTAATTAATTTGATTAATTAATCGGCACATCATGTAATTAATTAGATTAGGATGTTTAATCGCTTGACAGCCCTAGTCAGAGTGAACTGTGAGCTATGACTGACGCTGGTTTAACATTTCATGCTTTTCTTGATGGAATCAGAGTTATCTTGGTTCTGTTGAATCTGTAAGTTGGACTGGGAAAGTATTTCCGTGCTGAACTTAAGCAAAGGATCGTTTAAAATAACACAAAAGGTCAGGTTAAAGAAAAGTCGACATTCTTAAACTTAGAAATGTAAACTGTTTCAGTCATTACAACTATAAAATGTGTTTGGTTTTTGCTCGGAGTGGCTTGTAACATGGAGCCGTCTGTTTGAAAGGACCGTCTAATATGACACGACTGAGTCTGGAAATGTGCAGAGATTCATCAGAAAGCATGGCGTGTGGCTTGTGTGTTGTGTGTGTTTGTTGAGCTGGTTAACCTGCTCACTCCAGCGGTTTACACAGCTAATCTCTCATAAGTCACTCCAGACCAATGCTGCGGCTTTTAAGGCCCTTCTAGACTAAACCACATCGCTCATAAAAAGGTAAAGGCACAAAAAAGTTTGCTCTGATGTTTAGCACATTCTGCTATTAATAACCTCAACAGTCGAACGTCTCAAAGTAAATAGAAATGCATATGATGCAGTATGGGTTAATAATGTTCATAAATACAACACATGACCAGCATGTGCTTCCAACTGCTTTACTTAGGAACATGTGATAATAACATAATAATAATAAACATTTTTGTAATAATAACTGTATAATATAACGGTTGTATATGTATTATTATTAATTCGTAATATATAAATTATTATTATTATTCAGATTTTTTTAGATTTTTACCTTTTATTTAGAAAGGACAGTAGACTGATGGGACAGGGAACATTTTTCATGCATATGCATTATTATTATTATTATTATTATTATTATTATTATTATTATCATTATTATTATCATTATTCTTCTTTTTTTTTTAGGTGTTTACCTTTTATTTAGAAAGGACAGTAGACTGATGGGACAGGAAACATTTTTCATGCATTATTATTATTATTATTATTATTATTATTGTTATTGTTATTATTATTCAGATATTTTTATTTTTTTTTTTTAGGTTTTTACCTTTTATTTAGAAAGAACAGTAGACTGATGGGACAGAATTTTTTTTTCATGCATTATTATTATAATTATTATTGTTATTATTTAAAATCCCATTCACCTCTCGACATAATCAAAACGTTTTAGATGCAGTATGATGGAAAATAAATCATAAATATTTCAGATTGTGCATTATTTGTGTCATTTTTGGGAAGCTCTTCAGATGATCTCATGATGATCATGAGCGTGGCTGTTTATGTTTGAGTGTGGATGGTTCTTCAGCATGTGTTTATGAGGTATGAACGAGGAGTGTGTCAGCGACCGTCCACGGCTGGAGTTCTCTCAGCAAACACTTGTGTTATATTTTCCATTTGAAGAAGCGGGGCTCAGCGGAGCGTCTGCTCAATCCAGATTGGGTTTTCCTATAAACACGTGTACAGAGAGTATGTATACAGGCGCCATAACACTCCTGACATTCTGTGGCCATAAGTCACACAGCAGAATGAAGTAAATATTTTCACTATACCCATGCCGTTGTTTATTATAGAATGGCAAAAGCTGTAAATCTGGCCAAATCCTCAGTTAGAAAGTCATGGGGCTCTTGCTGCGACACCTTTCCCTGCGTCTGTTCGCTGTGGAGAAGCTCGCCTGTAAATACAACACACTCCTCACAAATCAACCGATTCCACTGCTGATTAGTCGGTTCGTTAAACACACGTCCTTCCTCAGAAGCTTTTATTAAAATATAGTCTGTCATCAGTCCGACACGTGTTACTGTTTGGTTGTAAACTCATTTATTGTATGTATTTATTGCATTACTATTTTTTATTACATTTTTTCCCCTTTTTTTGGAAATAAACACATGGAAATAATAGGGAACGGTGAAAACACTAAGCACCAGCAGTGCTGTCAAAGAAATACATCCTTGCAGATATTGCAGATATAATATTACATCTTCAGATGATTAATGCTGTTATTATATTTAATATTAAGAGAGTTAATGCGCTAAAATGTGACAGAGGAATTCCTCTGTTTAGTAATTATTATTATTAAACATAATAATACATGTTATGTCAGGAGATATATATTATTTTCCTATTATTCACATTCACGTTTTTATTGAGATATCTTGTGCATTATTTAGAGCTACTTTTGTATTTCATGTTGATTTGATTTTATTGGCCATAATTGCTCAGATTAAGAATTTATTGTTATTAATTAGCTGATTCAATAAAAGTATTTGATATGACCTCACTTTTTGGCTTGTCGAATGTGCAATAAATTGTCAGTGTGGCTTTGATAACATGAGTATTTTTTACAAGCCGTGACATTTTTAGGGAATTAACGTCCTTCAGACATCTAAGTGCTTTTGAAAACACATCTTATTAAAGAAAACAGAAGTGTGTGTTTGGAGTGCCCTATGCGGTTTGTTTCTGTTGATGGTGTATAAAGAAGTCTTGGCTCGTGGAAAGGAAACCGAAGGCCTGGTTTTTCACGAGGACACACTGTGGAGGCTACTGGATTGAGAGCATGTGTGTTTAAGGTCCGTCACCGTGCAGTCTGTAAATGAATGTGAAGGTGGAAGGAGAAGCATTTGTTGAGCTTTAAGTGAGCTTATGCTTTATAAACAAACAGAAACGCTCAGCTCGCTGCTTGGGATCTTCTGGCTAAAACAGATTTGAGGGAAAATCAACAGCAAAAAGGTCCTGTTTGTTTCAGAAACACATTCTGTGGCTTCAGTTCAAGGTTTTAGCTGCTTCGCACTCTCTTAAAAAGAAAGCTTTCCACAGCGATGCCATAAAATAACCATTTTTGGTTCCCCTGAGGTTAACAGTTCTTAAAAGAACCACTTTTCTTAATGTGAAGACCATTTTAATAATCTAAAGAGCCTTCTTCCACTATAAAGAACCGTTAGTGGTTTGATGGATGATACTCATGAAACCATCGATGCCAATTAAGAACCTCTGTTTTATTAAAGAGTGTCGACAATCAAAGATAGTCCAGTAACAAAGTTAAATGGACAAACCAAAGATATTCACTCATGTCGTTCCAAACCTGCATGACTTTCTTTCTTCTGTGCAACACAACAGGAGATGTTGAGCAGAATGTTCAAGCATGCAATGAGAGTGAATAATGGGACAAAAACGGATAAAAGCATCTTAAGCAGTTAATTCAAAGTGTGCTCTACATTACAAATCTTAATGGAATAGTTCACCCAAAAATGAAGATTAGCTGACGTTTTTAACTAAAATATGACTCCATAATCCATAATAACTCTTCCTCCAGTGAAAAAGTGCATCTGCTGTTGTCTCTCACATCAAAATCCAGCTACATATTAGTTTAGAGCTGTTTAAACGCTGCTTGATCTGTGCAGATTTCTCTCCTGATTCACACCAGAACACTTTTTACTGGAGGAAGCGTTATTATGGATTATAGACTCAATGTATTTGAGTTAAAAGCGTCTTAATGCTGGATTAGTTTCAGCTTTTGTCTTCTCCAGATGTTAACTGACGGACTGGAGTGCTGTGGATTATTGTGATGTTTTTATCAGCTGTTTGGACTTGGCACCCATTCACGCTTTTCAGCAGATTTTCTTTTTTCGACAGCTTTGTGTGAGCAAAAAGGCTGAAATCGAAATCATTATTCACTGAAAGTCTTGTTTGACGGCTGTGGTCACCATTCATTTTCATTGTATGGAAAAGAGCAGCTTGAACATTCTGCTGAATCGCTCCTTTTGTGTTCCACACAAGAGTTTTGAATAACTAAATGTTGATGCTTATTTTGAGTGCAGTGCTTTTTTACTTCTTTGTGCCTTATCAACATGCACTGACGCACTGAGTGACGTTTATAGTCATGAAATCAGAGACGCATGAGGTGCAAATGGTTCGTCTGAACTCTTGTGATCGGATGACCTGAGATGGAGGTTAATAGCAGCCTCGTATCTCGAGTTCTTACATCGCAAATCAGCCTGCAAAACACAGCGACATACCTGAATACAGACACACAGAGCAACTGCACTGCTTGTTCTCTAATAGCACTCTCTAATATCTAAGTGCATGGGGTCATTGATAACCTCATACCAATTTATGACAATCGATTGAATCATGTTCCTTCACTATCTCTAAAAGTGAATATTCCTCTTTAAGAAAAGCGTTAATTTTTTGCCAATATACATACCAGGTAAATAGGTAAGTATGCAAAGCATGGCTCTGCCAAGAAACTCCCCAGGCCAGATAAAACAAGATTGTTTGAACATTTTATTAGAAGCAGCTGATGGCTAATCCATGCTGAAATATCAGCGCGCTCCGCTTTTCCACTTCATAGTCTAATCAAACCAGCTTAAATGGCACTCGAATCACAAGGTTTAGAGATGAAAGTATTTGCGGAATGCCATTTATTTTTAGAATGATGGATCCCTGGACTCCCGGCTTCCCAGTTTTCCATGATGTTATGTGTGGCGTTTGGGTGAAAGCGACTGAGGGGGCAAGAGAACGTTTGAGTCACTCCAGCTCTTCAGATGAGCCTGACGTGAAGGTTTGTTGTGTATTTGCTTGCGTTGTTTGGTCATTGTAGCAACACACTTTAGTGCAGTGAACTGAAAAGCACTGGGAGTCCTGACGCTCAGTTTCCACATTACATCACAGTTTGACAAGTACTGCAGCTATGTGGTCTTGTTGAACAAGAAATTGAGACTTTTTCAGTTTAAAACAGGCATGTTTTCTTCAAATAACCTGACAGAGCTGACTATAATAAAAAGCAACACATGCATTAATCAAAAACATGCATACATTATCCTAAAAACTCTACACTGCAAAAAATATGTTCTAAGTTTTTTTGTCTTGTTTCCTAATGGAAGGAGAAGCAAAATGACTTCAGATATTGAGTCTTGTTTTGTTAGTTTTTGCTTAAAACAAGAAAAATATCCACCAAAGGGGTAAGAAAAATAATCTTAATTCAAAACCAAAAGTAAGACTTGTAAAGTATAAAAGAGACATATTTTGATCATTTGTTTTGTTCAGATAGCCTGACCGAGCTGAATATAACTAGCCTGAAGACACACTCTTCAGCTCAAATGAACATAAACCCACATGAATTCATCAAAACCATACGTGCATAACTCTGAAAATTAAAATTAAAATTCCATAATGCCTAGCGAGTTTTGTTTGCTATTAGTGACCCAGCAGTTCACCCAAAACAGTTATCGGTAGCCATTGACTTCCATAGTATTTTTTTCCATACTATTTAAGTCAATGGCTACCGTCAACCGTTTGGTGCAGCATTCTTCAGAATACCTTTTGTGCTCAACAGAAGAAAGAAACGCAAACAGGTTTGGAACGGCGTGAGGGAGAGTGAATGATGACAGGATCTTCATTTTTGGGTGAACTGTCCCTTTAAACTGAGCTGTTCAGATCACTGACACTGAGAGCTGATCTCTTTAAACTGACACACATCAGAGAGTCATCAGAACGCCCTAAAATAATAATAATAAGTGGTTTTTAAATGTGAGTCTGAGTTGTTGTGTGTTGTGGCATCGTTCATACAGCAGTGGCCAGAAATGCCTGCTTTGATAAAGAGATGAAATGACACTTCTGTTATAAAATATTATGTCATATTATAAAACTGCATGACTTTCTTCATTCCATGTAGATGTTTTGCAGGATGTTCACACTGCTCTTCCATTCAATATACATAAATGAGCGCTGTGAAGCTCTGATAAGCACCATAAAAGTATCATAATAGTCGTCCGTATGACTTGTGCACTGTATTTCAAGTCTTCTGAAGCCATTTGTTAACTTTGTGTGAGGAATAAAACAAACTGTAAGCCGCTATTCACTGAAAAGCGTGATACAGACAGAGAGTACGTGACTAAATTATGATGTATATTTCAGTCTGTTCCTCAAACAAGCTTATCTTATTGCTTCAGAAGAGTGACCTTTAATGGAAAAGAACAGTGTGAACATTCTGCAAAAAAAATGATTTCCCAACTTTTCTGACCCCTGTAGCAGATATTTGTTCTTGTTTTAATTTTGATGCATTTTTCAGTAAACACGTTTTAATATTTTAAGTCATTTGGCTTCTCCAGTAAAACATATCTTGTTGTAAGAAAGTTTAGATATTTGAACTGGAAAACAAAACAAAAATACTAACTAACAAAAAATAATCGAGCAGTGTGAACATCGTGATGAGGGTGAGTAAAAGATAACCGATTTTTGCAATTTTTAGGTGAACTATCTCTTTCAATTTTCTGTTAATTGTCACCTCTAAGAATTAGTATATAACTCTGTCTCTGGATCAGTTTCTGCTTTCATTTGCATTATTATTCTGAAGCTGAAGAATGAGGCTTTTTGTCAACAAACTATATATGCTTCAGATCATCTCAAAGCGTGTCTGTCTGCTGAAGTGCTACTGTTTACATTTTTTTCTTCCCATAAAACTCAAGCCATTGTTTGTTAGTTAATTTGTCAGTGCTGCGGCCGAATAAAACCAAGCGTCTGATGTTCAGTGGGCTCTCTGTGTTGACGTCAGGCTCATTTGTCATCGATGTGAGGCACAGGCTGACTGACGTCATGACCAAAGCGAGACTCGAGCGCTCGTGACAGGAATGATCACAACATCAGCACCGGATTCCAAACACTCTCAAATCAACATTCTTTCCTCCTCACTATATTTCATGACCTGCGGCTGCAGCGAAACTCTTCGCTTCTGCTTCATGCAAACAATTAGAAGAGAGGAAGTGAATGGGGAACTTAGGTCAATTCCTATCAAACACACCACCAATCACACCGCAACATCTGGACACACATGACTGCACTTGTTTCTGAAAAGAAGAGAGAGAAAAAAACGTTTGAAATCGCTTGAAACTACTCTACTCACCACTGATTGGGCTTCTGTATGCTTTTTTAAAGAATGAGCTGGAGCAGATTGTTTTGCCTTGATTGGTTTAGCATTTTTGTCATCACTTCCATTTTTAAAAATACTGAACAGATTATTATATTTTATTAGAAATTATTAAATAATAATTATAAGTTTTTAAAATAACAAATAAATGAAATGAAAATAGCAGAAGAAATAAAGAATGAAGTAGCTGTGTCCAGATTTTCAAATGGAAGCCTGGGATTAAAAAAAAAAAGCATACATAAATAAATACATAAATATAGAAATAGTTTATATACCGCAATTTAAAATAGTCAGAAATGCAGTATATACATTTAGAATTTAGACTTTTATTTCTTGCAGTGCTGAGTGTACACCTCACAATTATTTTTTTATTTCTGCTATGGAATAAAAAAGTGAAAACGGTAATTGCGACATTTTATCTCACAGTTATGACTTTTGTTTATATCTCATAATTCTGAGTGAGTTCATATCTCATAATTCTTAGTTTATATCTCATAAATCTGAGTTTATATCTCATAATTCTTAGTTTATATCTCATAAATCTGAGTTTATATCTCATAATTTTGAGTTTTTATCTCATAATTCTGATTTTATATGTCATAATTCTTAGTTTATATCTCATAATTCTGATTTTATGTCATAATTCTTAGTTTATATCTCATAAATCTGAGTTTATCTCATAATTTTGAGTTTTTATCTAATAATTCTGATTTTATATGTCATAATTCTTAGTTTATATCTCATAATTTAGATTTTTTTTATCTTATAATTCTGAGTTTATATCTCATAAATCTGAGTTTATATCTCATAAATCTGAGTTTATATCTCATAATTCTGAGTTTATGTCTCATAATTTTTAGTTTATATCTCATAATTCTGAGTTTATATCTCAGAAATCTGAGTTTATATCTCATAATTCTGAGTTTATATCTCATAAATCTGTTTATATCTCATAATTCTGAGTTTATATCTCATAAATCTGAGTTTATATCTCATAATTCTGAGATTATATCTTGCAATTCTGAGTTTATATCTCATAATTCTGAGTTTATATCTTAAAATTCTGAGTGAGTTTATATCTCAAATCTGAGTTTATATCCTATGATTCCAAATGTATATCTCATAATTCTGAGTTCATATCTTGCAATTCTGAGTTTATATCTCATAAATCTGAGTCTTTTTATTGCAGTTCTGTGTTAAAAAAGTCAATATTGTTGTCAGGATTCTTTCTCTTTGTTCTGGTTTATTCTTGGTTATGTGACAGAGCCCTGCCTCTCATGTTTCTTCTTGTGTTTGTATTGTCTTCATTGTGAGCACACGTGTTGAGTGTTCGTTCCCTCACCGAGGCTCTTGTCTCGTGTCTTCATTCGTTGTGTTGTCGTGTTTGGGTAGCACGCGGCTCGTGAGTTCTCATTGGCCGTGTGTTCTTATGTTTTGTGTGAGCACATAGCTTTGTTTTTGTTTCTATGTGCCATGTGCTCTCATGTCTATTGTCTAACCCCTCCCATCTTGTTACCTGATTATTGCTTCAGTTGCTCCACCTATCGTCTCTCGTTAACCTCCTTGTTTGGTTCTCTATTTATTCTCCCAGTGTCTTCTGTCCTGTGCTAGTTCATTGTCGCATGTTCCCTCGTGTTTGCCCTGTTGTTAAGTTTTCACTCCATGGGGTTGTTTTGTTTGTTTGTTTTTGTTTTCATTTGTTAATTAATAAAAGCCTGTGCATTCTGCATTTGAGTCCTTGCCTCATCTTTACCTACAAACGTGACAATTGTAAGATTGCAATTACCTTTTAAATTTTTTATTTTTTTTTCAGTGTGGAAAGGCTTGCATACTTTTGTCTTGTGTAGTACATATGAATAAAGCCACCAACACTGTAGAACAGAAATACCAAGACGGTACAAACAAAACTTGTGGCTGAACTTCAAAGCTTTTTCTCATTTTCATTGACCCAGATAATAGCGCAGTCACTCCTCGCACCAGGATCAACTTTCCCTCTTTGTTTTACAGCCGTTTCATGCGAACCCAAATTTACTTGATGCTATCAGAGACGAGAAACAAAGCGGCGGATGGCTGGAGGGAGAGCCTCTGACAAAAGGCTTTTTGGCCCTCGTGTTCAAACCAACACCTGCCATAAAATACTTACTTTTACAATCTGGAATGGGTGGAAAGCTGCACTGGGAATCTTTCATGTGAATTCCATGCTGATTTTGTAGCAGTGATGGCTGAGAGATTATTATACTCATCTGTTTAGAGTTGCCGGTGAAGAAAGCTTGATCTCCAGAGTTATGACAATTCTTCTGAATGCATGTTTTTCTGGAGCGTTCCCATTGATCCTAAACATCTTGTTTCATCCGTGTGCCGTTATCCCATCAGAGATGATTTTGCCGATCCTCCCAAACGCTTCAGGATGAGATCGGCACGCACCACTCGCACCACAATGTCCTCAAACAATAGATTTGTTTACTTCGAACAGTCTCACATCATTTATCAGCTAAGAAAACATGAAAAAGGCAAGAATGTATCGGAAGGAACTGCCAATGCAGCGTTCTGATACCATCAGCATAAAATAAAAACAAAAATCTCCAGAGTTTTCTCATTAGGCA